AAATCCATGCATCCTTGAGCCAAATAATTGGAGTGAGTAAAATATTGCCAGATTTGCATAAAAATAATAAGAGGAAGGTGCTATGTTATAGTGAGTACTCCCAAAACCGTTTCTCCTTTAGTATTAGATTTCCTATAAACTTCTTAAATGATTGTAAAGAAGGGCAGAATATATTATCCTAAAGTTGGACAACTGAAATAACAAGATTTTAATATATACTTGTGATGCTCTTAAAAATTACTCGTGCACTTCAGGAATACTCAGGTGAGGTGGCTCATGCCTGTAATTCTAGCACTTTGGGAGGCCAAGACAGGAGGTTCTCTTAGCACAGGAGTTCAATACCAGCCTGGGCAACATAGAGAGAACTCAGCTCTACAAAATATTTAAAAAATTACCTGGGCATGGTGTCACACACCTGTGGTCCCAGCTACTTGGGAGGCTGAGATAGGAAACCAGATAAAAAGCTGAGCGCCACTCAAGGTCATAACCAGCATAATCAGTCCTAACAGTGAACTGTTAACTATGGTTCTGGTTACCATTTTCACATTGCAGATGGCAACTCTTTCATGGGTCTCAATAATTTTTTTTTTAAGACAGTGTCTGTAGGCCAGGCACAGTGCCTCATGTCTGTAATCCCAGCACTTTGGGATGCCGAGGCAGGTGGATCACTTGAGGTCAGGAGTTCGAGACCAGCCTAACATGGCAAAACGCTGTCTCTACTGAAAATAGAAAAATTAGCTGGGTGTGGTGGTGGGCGCCTGTAATCCCAACTACTCAGGAGGCTGAGGCAGGAGAATCACTTGAAACCGGGAGGCACGGGTTTCAGTGAGCCGAGATAGGCCATTGCACTGCAGCCTGGGCAACAAGAGCAAATCTCCATCTCAAAAAAAAAAAAAAAAAAAAAGACAGTGTCTCATTCTGTCACCCAGGCTGGAGTTCAGTGGCTTAATTATAGCTTACTGGTTCCTCAGTCTCCTGGACTCAAGCAGTTTCCTCACCTCAGCCTCCTGGGTACCTGGGACTACTGGCATGCATCACTACACCTGGCTAATTTTTTAATTTTTTCAAAGAGTCAGGGAATCTCGTTCTGTTGCCCAGGCTGGAGTGCAGTGGCATAATCATAGTTCATTGCAGACTTGAACTCCTGAGCTCGAGTGATCCTCCCACCTTGGCCTCCCAAAATGATGGGATTACAGGTGTGAGCCACCACATCCAGCCACAATAAGTATTTTTTTTTTAATGATACAAAATGGGAAATACCAAGATGCACTGCACGTAGTATTGTTAAGTAATGTGATTCAGTGTGTGCATCCTGAATATAAAATATACATGTGCACTGGAAAAAAACAGAAAGAAATGGATGAGGGCCAAGGGCCAGGACTACACATTTAAGGAAACTAGATAGAGGCCTCTAGTAATATGGAGCAGATTGAAGGAAAGACTGTACATGATTAATAAGAGATGAGTCTTTGAGTAGGAGAGAATTATGTAATTGTGCTAGGAATCTGTACCAGGTACCTTATTAACATTTCAACAATCTCATGATACAAAGTAGATATTATTTTACAGATTAAGGAAATAGTGTATGGGAGTTAACTTGTTCATGATCACTTATATGTGGCAGAACTGGAAATAAGCTTCCAAAAAACTCCCTGTTTTGCTGCTAGAGGAAGGAAATCTAAGTAGCAAAGCAGATGTTAGCAATGGAAGAGAAAACAACTGGCAATCTTGGCGATCCCTGCAGAAAGAAAAAAATGGCTAGTATTGGCAAGATATATTGCTACCTAGTACGAAGCAAGAATTAGATATCTTTATCTCCTATGATCTGATGTATAAAAATTATTACTTATGAAAGAAATCAGCCTCAGTCATACAGAGTCTTAGATTCTGGCCAGAAGCAAAGGTATTTAACTGTGATTTTATTTTTTCATTTCGTTCTAGGCATCTTGTACTGACGGGAGACTTTTCAAGCACTTGGAGACTATTTGGCGTTTTAGCCCAGGTCTTCCTGGCTACCCAAGAACTTGTACCTTGGATTTTTCAGTAAGTCTCTATAAAGCCCTTGATTTGTTCCACATATGAGATAAAGTTGGTAAAAATGTAATTATTTTTTAGAACACAGAGGCCATAATTACATTGAATACCTTTTTCTGCATAAATGCTAATGAGCATTTCTTTTTTATTCTATTTCATGCAACCTTGAATA